ACATTTTATATTATTATGTTTGTTAACAAGAATACAAACAAACTGAAGAAAATGGAAGAACATTGATGTCAAACGAATATGCATTCTCATTCATCCTGATATTTTTTGTGAAGTCTTTTAGTCGCAAAACTACGTGTTGTGGTCTTTGTTTGATGTGTAGCGTTATGCTGTTTTGTGAAAAATCTGTACATGATAGAGAAAAAATGGAATATCATTTTCGGATTCAGCGTACAGGAGTTACAGTAGAACATGTAAAAAGTTCAAGACAATAAAACAATCGCAGGCCTGTGTTATCAGTAACTTGTAACAAAAATAAGCGTTTCTTTCAAAATTTTACCTTGAATATACTTACATATCTTGAATAATCTTACATATGGCTTGTTAATAAACTCGCCTTGTTTCAGTCCATATGATAAAAAATACACATCAATTCTATTGTGCATTTGTTTTAGTTTATCAGTTTCACGGACTTGTATTTAAAAGTTTTAGGTAATTATGATTTAACAGCGACGTAATAACAGCAATAACTATTTAATCATTCAAATCAAAGTAGCTTAGCGGTAAATCTGTTGGCTTATAATGCTAACATCCGAGTTTCGATACATAGAATAATTAAAAAATGAAAAATGAACCGATAAAGAAATGTGTTTAGATTTTGGATAAGTTTGAATTTGCAAGTTTAACATTCAAGCTCCTAATCAATGAACAGAAGACGAGAACGTTCATATCTAGCTAAATCAAGATTAAGTCAGTTTTATTATCGATAATCATAAGAGAATTTCAGGTAGATTAAGCTACGGTTAGTTATTATTATTAAGAAAAAGACATATTTGAATAACTACGTCTAGTTACACCTAGTTATTTCATATGTTTTTCTAACTTTTGGTTGTGAAGATATAATTAGACTAAATACTCATGACATCCAAATTTACCAATAATTCAGACTACCAAACTTTTGATACTTCAAAATAGTCTTGCCATTAAGTACATATATCAATATTTTATTTAAATAACTTGTGAATTATAATTAATAAGAAAAGCTTACATGTCATCGACATCGGTTTACAGTGAGCTCGTTTTAAACCGATCAGACTAACAATTATTAATTTGTGTGTCAATTAACAGAAGGTAAAAGGCAGTGTATAAACTATAGGGTAAACAAATGAAACTACGTCACAGAAGATACAAAGGGTTTGTTTGTTTTTGAGTTTTGCGCAAAGCTACACGAGGGCTATCTGCGCTAGCCGTCCCTAATTTAGCAGTGTAAGACTAGAGGGAAGGCAGCTAGTCATCACCATCCACCGCCAACTCTTGGGCTACTCTTTTACCAACGAATAGTGGGATTAACCGTCACATTATAACGCATCCACGGCTGAAAGGCCGAGCATGTTTGGTGGGACGGGGATTCGAACCCGCGACCCTCAGATTGCGAGTCGAGCGCCCTAACCACCTGGCCATGCCGGGCCGATACAAAGGGAGAACGTGTTATTGGAAGAATTATCTGTGGAACTGTTGGTTAAGTTGAATGGAGATACACAGTGTAGATCATAGCTTAAACATCAAGTCTCATTGTTAGAATATTGATAAATTAATTGGTTATGGTATTGTTTCTCCTCCTCTAAACCACTACATTAAAATACCGTATCTAACGCTAGAAATAAATGAAACACTTATAGAATCAATATAACCATTTTTATTCAAATATGTTATGATTTATATCTGGTATTAATTTTACTCAATAACTCTGAAGTGAATCTGCTTAACATAATTAGATTTGATCTGCATTGTGAGTAGTCGTCTTTTCAATACCGATATAAATGTGTTTTATTATTAATAAAATCCATCACAGACGTGTTGTCGTCTTAACATGATTAATAAGAAACATAAATCATATGACCTGTTTTCTATCCCAATGAATCTATGGAAAAAAAGGGAGACCATGGCTATCCAATAATTTTAATATTGAATACTAAGGACGACTCAGAAATGATTGAGCCCTGTGAGTTTTTAGCTGCTTGTCGTTAGGACTTTACTCGCCTGAAGGAGAACTTCCGTCAGGAAAATCGTTAAGTACTCGTGCTAGCTGGGGCCATGTTGAAATGACTTTCATGTTTTCTCAGCAAAGCCATAAAATAGCAGTATTTCTCAGGATGATTTTTAATTACAACTAATTTATAGAAGTGAAAACTTCTAGTTGTTAAATCCTCGGCGTGATGCCATCACCAGGATGACAAAACGTTCTCATTTCTTGAATTAGTCCTAATTAAAATGTAATCTAAGGGTTTTGCTTAGTATTATTCACTTGGCGCTAGTAAAAACAAAAGAAAAACAAATAAATGTTATAGTTAGTCGTTATAGAAAATTAATCTAAGGATTATGCTTTACATACTCCACTTGGTGTTAGCTAAATAAAATATAGCAAGTGTTGTCGGAGATATGTTTGAATCAATATTTAAACATCAATCATACATCACTGATACTTATTTTGATTTGGTTTACAAAGTTGTATTTATTTAGTTAAAATACAGAGTTTGAACACGTTAAATTAAAACGAGTTTGGAGCCTCACCCTATCATTGCAGTCCAACTCCCGAAGTCCTGTCATGACGATCGGAAGAATGTACATCTTGACAATAGTCCTACAGCATTGTTTCCATTGTAAAAAGCTCTGCCTCTTACTATGGTATGTTATGAATACCCGTTTGATTCCCCAACTGTTTGAGGTATGAAATGGTTTAACGGGAGGTATGACTGGAAGTCTTATCTTGGTGAACCGATACCCTGTTGGCCTTGTTTCTAAACGGAGATAATTCTGAATTATGTTGCACATGGAGCACATGGACTGATTTTGCCACTAAACTTTTAGTTTTAGTTCGTGGATTTTCACCTGTTAAAAGACGATG